ATTTGATTGGCTGTTTTGGTCGGTAGATACGCCTAACTTTAAAATAAAATACAATTTGATTGGCTGCTTTGGTCGACAGGTACGCYTATGWTTTTCACTTCCAAACCTCAATTGATGGTCGGTTCATCACTAATATCACTTTTAAAAAGTTAAAACTTTTTAGAAAGACTCATATTCTTTACTTTCCTGTATTAATTAATTCTCAACATTTTGACACTTCATCAAGCTGACTAAACAACAATCGTAAGAACAAATTAATATTACAAAAGACAATGATAAAAATAATAACGTAGATGACATTTTAATGAACCATTTTAAAGGTTTGTTTTGCACCTTTTAGCTTTGTTTTCCCTTCTGTAAATAAGGTTATCTAACAGTCATATGAAGGCAAACATGGATTTATAGCGCKGTTGGCTGACATAACGAGAAAGTGGCCAATGTGTTTCCTAATTGCATAAAATAGAAGGAACGTTATTTCTATTATTGAAATGTATTCCTATAGTAGAGATTAGAAAGTTAGGTCCGGTTCATACGTCGAGCCAGCATCGCGCCGAACCAAATAGTTTTAATTTAGCACATGAACAGCTCGACGTATGAATCAATTGAGTTCGGCGCGACCATAGCTCGGCATTGGCACGGCAGAGTCAGTCGTGCTGCACGGCAAAAGCTCGACGCTGATTCATACGTCGAGCTATCGTTCGTGCCGAACTTAATTCACAAAAAATATCTTTTTTCGTCAATAATAATGGATGCAAATTGCGTGTTCTCAAACCTTATCTTTTAACTGCATTTGGTTCGACGTATGAATCAACGCCCTACTGAATATATTTGGGTCGACACAAATTTGACTATTTGGTTCGGCGCGACGCTGGCTCGACGTATGAATCGGGCCTTATTGGTATTTTACTGTATGTATGTCACCATCATATAACTCAAGTTATATTCGTGTAGTCATAGAATGTACCATAGATTAAAATTAGTTGSATATCTGATATTTTGATGACTTTATCAATGATTTGACAACCTTATCTGTCAAAAGGACGATGATCAGTTTACAGCGTTAATTGTTCGAATGGAAATGAAAGTTGCTCATTGGTCAGCAAAACAGCACACCACTGGCGAGATTTATACTTGTTTGTGATGATATATTTTTGAATTCCTGGAAATTTTCAACTWAGTTTCATGTTTTATCATTACTCCAGTTCCTCGAATAATTATTGCGAATTCTTTAAGTTTGGTTTAAATTTGCTTGCCTGGAYTATTTTGATGCTTGCAACGCGTTGAGCTAAAACGTTGACACTTTCATGACTACATCATTTCCTAATTCACAATAATGTTGACTTTAAGGAAAWTCAGCTGCAGGATCAAACAATTATTTGATGCTTCTGTCATCGGGTTAACAAATTCTACCCAGCCATTGAGCTATATAGAGCGCTAATCTACCTCTAAACAAATATAAATTGTGAAGAGTTGACTTTGAATAACTAGAATRCATGTGTGAGCTGATACAATTTACATTATCAAAGATCGACAACCTTGAAATTGAAGCTGGGATATATTTTTTTGAGATTCATTGCCACTATTGGATGGATCTCTAGAGTAGAAAGTGGTAGTTATTCAACATACCAAGTAAATATTGGGATATTTGAATGAAATGATCAAGGAATCAAAAATGGTAAGTATTTGGTTTTACATGTAAATGTCATCTCGGGGAATACGGATTTTTAAACCTTGATCTCCTCCTTTAATCACTTCAATTATTCTCAGCTATAGCTTTTTGAGAATTCAATTTTTTCATCGTTTTGAAGTCATCTTCCACTCAGAATATTATCTATATAACGATGTCATTATAATAATATATAATTATTTTACAATCTTAACTCTGATTCATGCATTTRTGGAGAAGTTCCCTCATAACATTTTCCACTACATTCGAAGCATTGGTTAGTTTTCAACGGATAGAAACCCGGACAATTAAGGAATTGTGCTTCACGATTGTATTTCGAAAGTTGAAGCTGTACTAACAACAAAGTGAAAGAATTAATCCTGAATATTTTTCCATTTTTTTCTCATTTTTCGTAGATGCATCGTCTCAACTTCCTCRTCTTGATATTCCTTACAAGAATACTTCTAACTTGCCAGAATTTTTCCAAATGTGCATCTTCGACGCAAGGACTCGTTCTTCTTCATCACGCATACAGATCGTTTAAAACTGAAGATGCTTCACGTTGCTTGCATGAATGCATTGCCGAYATTTTATGCCAAAGCATAAATTATTACAGGGACGATATAAAATGTGAACACAACACCAGAACGACTAGTATGAGACCCAAAGATGTTTTCATGGTCATGTCGGCGATATCTATGGACAACCCATATCGAGGTAAGAGCTATACGACTATTGTCGCCATATTGGATGTCGATGGTTAGTCGTCTAAACTAGTATATATAGGTATATCAATGTTTTAGGCCCGGTTCATAGGTCTTGCTATCGTCGCGCCGAAACAAATAGTCAA